TCTTTCTCTCTCTCTCTCGACCGTGAGAGGTGCAGATGCTAGTGAAAGTTTTATGAGGTACTGTCTCGTCCTTAGCTTTCACTGCCTGTCTCCAGACTCGACTATGGGATGTATCAATACTCGATAGGTCTTTGTTATTGTACACCAGTAGTTTTTTATAGGTATTTGTTATTGTACAACTATGGAATATAACTGAAGTTATGAATGAAGTTGTTGTGACGATTGTTACTGTGTCGTTTATATATAGTTTTTGCCTTAAAAACAATTAATAACTGAATGGCGATGCTTGTTACTCTATTTTTTAAGTGTCATAGTATTTGCCTTGCTACACAGACGTGAGATAAAGCACCTCGCTGAGATGGTGCTGGGATGAAAGTATTTGCCTTGGTTAATTTGCAAATTGGTTTGATGTATTCGTTCGCTGAAAAGTACTGCTAAAGTAGTGGTGAAGAACAGGGCCAAGGTTTTTGTCATCATAACTATAGTTGCTGATAGATCCTTGTCATTGTACGCTTGGTAAATGAAAAGTGTAACAGAGTTAAACGAAAAAGAATGTCTTTTATTGATTTTGAATATTGTTACCTCACTGTGATGCTGGTGGGGTATTGGTTTGTATGTGCAAACCGTCGTATGGTATGGCTTTGTAATCGCGTCCAATGTTATTGTAGAGATCAGCACCTTTATTATGCAACATCAGTTGACGAACTTTATCATGTTAGCATCCATTATTATTATAAAAAATACGATGTGTGTTCAGTAAGCTACTAAGGCCCAGCTAAATTACATTATACAATTATGTCACCGTCGGATACAAGCGGCATTGAAAAAATTGTATCACCGCCGCTATTCGTCGTTGGATGATAACATCTTCTTACTGTAACCTGCAAAAATAATGTTCATAATATTTTGTTCTGTTCCAACGTTCAATTTTCGTATGACACGCCCGTCATTAGGTGTACTCTCTCTGTCCCTAAATGTTGGTCGCTACGATTTGTGTGCCGATAACTTTGACTCGATTTATAGAAAATACTTGCAATATTTCTATCTCCAAAAATTTTTATGAAAAAGTAGATTCAAATATCTATCCAATAATACTAATTATGTATCATAAACATTAATATTTTTTTAATATATATTTAGTTAAAGTTGTTTCTCGAGAAGCAAAAACGACAGATATTTAGGGACGGAGGGTACCATCTTCTTTAAGACCCAACCACCACCACTTGTAGCCTTCACCATCGATATAGTCAAAATTTGCAAGCTAGTGCAAGGCTCCCGCGTGTTTTTAGAATTTTTGGCGCGTTTGTAGTTAGTTTACAAAGACCGCTACCAACCTAGCCGCCACCCTGTTCGTCTCCTCCTCAAGTGCTGCTATTACTCACCTACTCATCGGCGTGCAATCCGTCACTCGACGTCGACAAGCTAGTGCTCCACGTCGATATGCCTCACCGGCACCGCTGTGGCCGCTCGAGCTCACTGCCACAGGATCCAAAGGCAAAGGTAATGCCTTCTTGTACTTCCCTTATCTATGTTTCTTGGCTTTTTATTCCCCTCTTATCTCATCTGAGTACTAATCAAGCTTTCATCTGACCATTAAGGAGCTCATGAGCACATCTTCGTAGGTACTCCTACTCTAATTCAGGCGACAACATTGCTGCTTCCATCGCCAGTCCCGCTTCACCACATTCTAGTCAAGGAGGAGGAGGCCACCAACAAGAGGAATGAAGTAGACATCCTCATAGATGATGTCTTGATCCTTATCCTCCGCCCTCACCGCCCGCACCTTGTGCAGCTACAAGTGTGTGTGTGTGTGTCGCTCCTGGTACCGCCTTATCTCTGAATCCGAGCACCGTAAGGAGCTGCCCCAGTTTGTCTTCGAATTCATGTATGGCAACTAGAAAGGCAAACGCCGATTCACTAGCTTCACCGGTGAATACCCCTCATTTTCCTTCTTGTCCTTCCCCATTCAGGATTTAGTCATCTCAGATTGCTGCAGAGGCCTCTTCCTCTGCTAGTGCGTTGGGATTCGCTATGTTATCTGCAATCCAGTGACTAGCAAATCGGTGGTACTACCACATAGCAACCTTTGTTATGGTTCAGCTCGATTGGGGTTCGATCTCATAATCTCCTCATACTTTCATGTGGTAGAACTGTGGGTAAGGTCGCCTGGGGTGTTAGTTGTTAGTATCTACTCATCCAAAACTGGAGCATGGATGTGTAAAGAGTCTGAATGGCAAGAGGATATTCTAGTATATAAATTTTCAGGAACTGTGTTTCTTAATAGTTTTATGCACATGCTGGAAGTGTTCCACATAGTTGCTGTTGATATGGAGGAAAAGACATGAAGGAAAATTCTTATGCCACTAAGTCCTGTAATGTCCATCCATAGAGATTATGGTTAGTTGTGTCTATATATTGTTGATATTTTCAATACGTCTGACCTTTCAATCTGGATCCTTAAAGACTATGGTACTAGTAAATGGATATTGAAGCATACGGTGAACACGCTGCAACTATTTGGACTGAACAATATTGGACTCGGTTATGAGGCTGCCAATGCGGACTACAGAGTGAATACAGTTCACCTAGAATGAAATTTAATTTTCCTTGTTGGGGAGGACAAAACACTGATGGCATATGACATGAGCCACAGAAGAGTTCATGTCCTCCCTGCCCGGGTCGTCCACTATCCTAAAAGTACATGGAGTATTTATTTGAACGGACCTCACTATCTGCCTTATGTTCCCTTGTTCATGGAGTCATTAGCTGAGCAGTAAATGTGCATATGATGTATTTTGTTGTTAGAACATGTTTCTGTTCAGGTAGAGAGTTGTTTTGAGTCTATATATAATCCAATTTTAGCTTGGTAACTAAACCAATGACACGTTGAATATTATTAATTTTGCCGCTTTGCATTGTGCAGGTTTTGGCGTCTCTATGCTTTTTAACGATTTTCCTACAAGGAAGGAAGAAGAGGGGTTTCATGCTATATTGGCTGCCAAGCTGATCAAAGAGTGTCAATCTGAAGGAGCGGAGCACATCTATCTTGTTTTAGTTACGTAAGTCTGTAGGGAGCAGAACATTTATTATGCTATCTATGCACCGCTTGTGTTAATTCATCAGTTGACATAGTTGTTTTGTTAATGTCGAGCATTGTTATTATAACGAGTACTCTTCATTGTGGACATGATGAATGATGTGTAATGATTATATATGTATGGTGTGTGTTCAGTAAGTTATTAAGGTCTAGCTGAATTAGTAAATATATTATGAAAACCGAATGCAGTTCTATCACCGTTGGATGTAAGGTCCGTTGGTTGTTTTGTCATCACTGCCGTACCACTCGCCTTTAGTGAAGCAGACGGCCATCACCACCTCTATTCATCTGATGCGGCAGGGGTCAATAGTGCATCACCGTCGAATCGTTTAGTAACCCGACACCGACTAAAGGATCGTCACGGGCGGATCGTATTGCAGCGCGACGGTGACCATGCCCTATGACCAGACGGTTCATACGTTGAAGCGACGTTGATGTTCGCCTTGACATAGGCGTGGCATGCTCCAATACGACAGAATAAGGATCTGATCACGGACGGTGCATAAGCCATACGGTGGTGTTAGTGCATACCCACACATGCGGGTCGTGATACAATACGATGGAAGTAAGGACCTTATCACGGACGGATGATAAGCCAATACGACGGTTTAGTGTACACCCCGGGCGGTCTCAGATACCGACGGTGATGGCTATGAGTATCACTGCCCACAGCTTACTGGTGAGGCTAAAATTGGACTGCGATGTGGGTTACGACGCGGCTGTGAAAGGTGCGAGTGTAGTAGTGCTTGTGACTTTGTTTGAACTCATATGTTTATTTAAAGTTTATTCGATCATGTGTGGTAATATTTTTTTAATTTAGGAAATTTTTAACTCGGGCTATCTAAATCGACCTGGATATCTTGCACCGTACACAGAAACAAAGTATCATTTACCAGAGTTTCGACAAGGAGCACGACCAAGTGAGAAAAAGAGGTATTTAATTTTGTGCACTCATCGCTACACAATGTGATTGAAAGATCACAGCTTCCATATATGTATGTATATGTGGTAGCGTTTGAATTCTATGGGATTTTACATTATCCATATTCCTAAAACCCAGATTCTAGATACTAAAATTACCTACCTATTTGGACCTTTGGATTCTACTTATTGTAGATAATAGTCATCTCAAGCATCTTTCCCCAAAATGCCCTCAACCTTACATCTCATGTCCTGACAAGTAAGTGAAACACACACGCGCGCCATAGCGTCTAGATTTATATATAGACGTACATATTATTCTACCAATTACAAATCCACAAAAGAACCTAAACATTTATATATAGTCCATATAAATATTCTCTTACATTCACGACCGCATCACTACCGAGGCATTAGCAATATTATCTATGAACACATTCATGTCTTCATCTTCATCTCCCAATTGAGAATTAACACCGCTTAATTCCGATGAGCCGGACATTGCAAATGGCATGTAATTTTCATCACAATCACACATGTCAAAGTCTGCATCGGTCATTGCACTTTCACGAATAAAGCTATGCAGAGCCAAGCAAGCAAGTATTATTTTCGATTGTTTTCTCATTAGATAACTTGGCAAGTCTAACAATACCCACCACTTCATTTTTTGAACACCGAATTATCTACGCAATTTGTGTATGGCATATGTGTTATCTTTTTTTGAAACAATGCCTCGAGTCTATTTATTCATTCACACCGGGTTCAGCGGAATCGCACACCAAAATATCAGATACAGAACTCGGGAGGAGATCAAGCCAAACATGAGGTTGATCCGGGTCCCAATCTAGACTCAAACGTGTGAGTTCATGAGCACTCCTATTACATGATCTAGGACAATGAACAATCTGTACCGAGACAAAAACATAATGAAATCAGCTCCCCTACTTCTTTGTAGAGGACGGATGCAGGGCTAAGATCACGCTCATCTGGCAAAAGTGCACTCATCGTGTTCATTGAGCCAGTTTCCAAGTATAATTTTCCCCATACCATGGCTCGACGTCGCTTGCAGAGCTACAATGCAGGCTTGAGCTTCAGCACAATCAGCATTATGAACTGCTCTCAAAGAACCAGATCCCGCCACAACCGCGTGGCCATTATGGCCACGAATAACAAAACCCCAGCTACCTGTCTTTGTTTCAGCAAAGAAGGCTCCATCGCAATTTACCTTGAGGATATCCCTTGGTGGCTGAGTCCATGTCTCAGGTATACGTGAGCTCTTGTTCGCCTCTTCTTTTGGCCTAGATTCCATCGTTAGCATGGATGCACGATGAAGAACCTAGCCTAGAGAACACAAACCCTCACCTGCATTTGCTTTATTCCGAGCCTCCCACCATGAGTATAGGAGCATAACCACCCGCAAGCATAATTCCTCGCGTAGTGACAAGATGGCCAAAATCACTTCGGCCGCTGATTTTTTCTGGAGTAGTTCAATCCATATGTCCTCAAGTACAGCTTCTCTCCAACACTTAACAACAAACTTGCTTTTTAAGAAACAGTGCCCCATCTTCGTTTAGTCTCCAGCATACCGGGCATCTAGTATCTATATCTATTCCTCTTCTCTTTATGTTCATTTGTAACGGGAGACTTATCTGAATGCCCACACAACAAATCGTTTTTAATGTGTTAAAAAAAGTAGCTACCATGCAACCGGGATTACTGATTTATTTGACGCAAATTATTGAAGCTTGAGGCCGCACTACAGTTACAATGTGGGGTCAGTACAACCCTTTAGCCCTCGTTTGGAACGAAGGTTTCTCGTAGGAATTTCGTAGGGAAGCAGTTTCTTTGGATTGCTGACGTCACATGCCGTTTCGATCAAAGGAATGAATCTCTCCGTTCCTACGAAAAGGCCGGCTATCCTCCATGAAACATAGGAATGAGAACATCCACTCGGACTCAAATTATTTTGTGGAAGTCCGAGGCACGCATGCCATAGAGAGGAGGTGCGCAGGAAACTTGATGAAGTTACTGGACCAAGGCGCCGGTGCATAGGGCTACGTCGCCTCTTTGGAAGAGATGAGCAGGTGGCGCAGTATGCTTGACAGTTAAATCGCAGAGAGCGCATTCGAGAGAAGAAGATGAACAGTAATGCAGGGGAGATAAGAACAAATATGGACAATGGCACAGCTCTATGCTAGAGTAGGTGCTTTATCAGTGGGCCAGCCGCTAGGTAGCTGCAAAGAACAACGCAGCGAGTGGGGATTGCCTGTATTTTATGCAGTCGTATAATACGACCAGTGTGACGCTTGGTCACTACGGCAACGGTGGTGTGTGTGTGTGGTTGGGGGAGTGAGAGGCGAGGGCAGTGTGCTGCGTTATATAGCCAAAATTTTGGGCATGTGTGACAATACAAACTTACGACAGAGAAGAGATGGGAGTGAGAGGCGAGGGCAGTGTGCTACATTATATAGCCAAAATTTTCAGCATGTGTGACAATACAAACTTACGGCAGAGAAGAGAAGAAGAGAACCTTAACAGCTGCCAAACTCCAGTTCAATATCTTGGGTGAGGTAGTGCGCTCGCTCTTGTCAGGGCCGTGCACATGGTGGAAGTGGAAATATGTCTGGAGGAGGAGAAAACAGGCGGGGAGAAAACCTTCGTGCCAGAATATAGTCGTTCGGGGGGGGGGGGGCCTTGCTATATCATATAAAAGGACAAAAGGATAGGCTTACAACCCTACTAAAACAATTTTATTCTGTAATTCAGTAATTTAAGAGACGCTAAACTTCCTCTATTTCACATTTCTCATTTGTTTTTTATGGTCCTGGCTGTGAATCCTGCCATTTCTGGATTTGCCTAATATAACTTGTACCATTCAAGGTTTATGTTAAAGGAAAAGGTTAATGAACCTGTCACTATTGATTTTCAGATTAATATATCATCCCATTCATGCGTTTCAAACGCCATTCACATAAAATTCATGTGTTTTTTCAATCATCTATTTTATCCTACGTTCCTTTCTCGTTTCTGTATTTTTTTCTATCCTCTGTTTTGCGATCCTCTATTCCAAACAGACTCTTATCCTCCCATGCAACTAGAAGAACGCCCCGCGCGTTGTTGCCGGAATCGTTGGTGAAATTATACTACTTATATTTACTAATATAATTGAATAAATATCATAATATATGTTAGTGGATGATTTTTAGCATTATGATGTGGACAACTAAATATATGTTGATAAATGATATGGTTTGCTAATGTGAATAGCTTGAATAAAGACATAATGGTATGTGTTAGTTGGATGTGTCAGCGGATGCTGACATAGACACTTTGCATGACGAGATAGATGAATGTCTAGTAGGATGTTCTAGGGGATGGTGACGATAATATTTTGTATAGCAAAATAAATTGCTAGTGGGATTTATTTTTATAATAAGAGATATAGATGACATCCATTGAGCTGCACATCCCCCACCACGTCACTGGCCCCGTTCGGCTTACCCCATATTTGGTTTGTTCGGCTTGTTTTTTCAGCTAGAATAATATTTTTCTCTCACAACAATTCAGTCGGAACAGTGTTTTTCAGCTAGTTTCAGCCAAGATTCAGCAAGCCGAACGGAACAACTGAGGGAAGAAAATTCTATGGATCATATTTCCTCTGTCTCAAATTACCTGTCGCTTTTAATTTGTATGCCGTAACTTTGACTTGATTTATAGAAAATACATGCAACATTTGTATCTTTAAATAAATTTATTAAAAACTAGATTTAAAGATGTTTTCAATGATACCAATTATGTATCGTAGATATTAATATTTTATAACATGTATTTTTGTGGCGCAAACTTTCTGTCCGTGTGCCATGGCTTCGATGGCCGTGGCCGTCGCGTGGACAGGCACATGATCTGACGTCCTTCTCGCAATCTTGCTCGGCTCCAGCCACATTAGTGCGTGTTTAGTTTGCTGAAATTTGAAAATTTGGCTACTGTATCATTTTTGTTTTATTTGGTAATTAGTGTTTAATTATGGACTAATTAGGCTCAAAACGTTTGTCTCGTAATTTTTAATCAAATTGTGTAATTAGTTTTTATTTTCGTCTATATTTAATACTCTATGCACGTATTGCAAGATTTGACGTGATAAGTACCATAACATTTGTTTGGAAAAGTTTTTGAACTAAACCAGGCTTACCTGCGCTCCCACAGTGTTGGTTTCGAGTCTTCTTCTCCCAGTTCTGCACCTTCTGTCCCGCCTGATTTTTTGACGCCTCGCGGCAGCCATCCATGATAGGAGCGCACGCACGCAACTCGTCATCTAGCGCCACATGCATACGCAGCCACGCAGGACACGCGGCAGATGTGGGGGGCAGGCTGCACGGATGGGCGTCAATTCTCCCGCAATCAGAGATTTGTACGGAGTACATTCACACGGTTGCGTTTTTTCTAATACTCCTGCCTAGTCCCAGTGATAGATACATACATACTAGCTATCTAGAGTTTTCTGGTAAGTATACTCCTACATAATAGCACAGCTCACAGGCTGGCAAGGTGAGAGCAAAGTGAGTTCCAAAAAGAAAAAAAAAGGGTGAAAGCGAAGTCGTGTACGCTGGCACTAGCTCGCCCCGTGGCCCGTGCTCGCCTCCGACGGAACTCGCCGCCGCCTGCCCCGTGCTCCACTCCCGGTGCCGCTCCTCATCCTCCCCGGTCTCCCCACGCCGAGCCGTGACTTCCTCGCTGTGCGTCGCCGAGCCGCCGCTAGCGCACACCTCCCCGAGCCGCATCCGTGGAGACCCCTGCCCCTCTGATTCGCATCCAAACAACTTCGTTTCTGGAATCGACCCATCCTATCCCCTTCCATCCCATCGGTGTTCCCCCGCCCCCACCACTCCCACTCACACACAATCACGCACTGTTTCCAATCCCTCCTGTGAATTAGGACTGCCCACCTCCCGCTGCTCCACGCATACATCCAATCGAATCGCCAAAGGAGAGAGGGGCGATCGCGGGGGCGCCGAGCTCGGCGGGGCGCGATGGCGGGGAACGACTGGATCAACAGCTACCTGGAGGCCATCCTGGACGCGGGCGGGGCCGCAGGAGAAATCTCAGCAGCCGCAGGCAGCTGGGGCGCCGGCGACGGGACGGCCGGGGAGAAGCGGGATAAGTCGTCGCTGATGCTCCGGGAGCGCGGCCGGTTCAGCCCCGCGCGATACTTCGTCGAGGAGGTCATCTCCGGCTTCGACGAGACCGACCTCTACAAGACCTGGGTCCGCGTAAGTCCTTCCGCCGCCGCTGCCGTCTTCAGCTGATGTCTATCCTAGTGTTATGGGCGCGATTTTTTTTTGGCTTGATGTTTTTTTTTCTGTTTTTTTTCTTTATTTATATGAATTTTGGTTTCAGACGTCGGCTATGAGGAGTCCCCAGGAGCGGAACACACGGCTGGAGAACATGTCGTGGAGGATCTGGAACCTCGCCAGGAAGAAGAAGCAGGTATACACGTGTCCAGCCGAATAGAAGTTGATAACAGCATTACTTGTTTCTTCAAAATCTTACCGGCCAAGTTTGTGTGCACTTAGAGCAACTCCAAGAGAATAGCCAAAATCATATTGTAAATTTCATCTCTAGCGAGCGAAATTTCTGGGTTGGAGAGCCACTAAATTTAGAGAGGCACTTACAGAGCCTGTTGGAGATACTAATAATAGCCATATTTTTAGCTTTACAAAACCATTTGGCTAGACACTTGGAGATGCTCTTAATAACCAACTACTTTATCAAAAAAAAAAAAACCCAACTACCCTTTTGGAGATCATGCTCCTGAGGTAACTATTGAGACAACGGATTTTAGTACTAAAAGTATACTAGTGGTAGTATTTTTGAGTGAAAACAGTAGGGCAAAGCCCATGCTGTGATAGAGAGCTGCCTGACCACCCAATCAACCATGCTATGTCGACAACTTGATTGGGTGGTCAGGCTTGGGGTAACTTTTGTTGCACCTGGGGAATAGTTAAATCCTACTCGTGCTGTGCATGTGCTTGAACTGGCTCCTCTGATCAATACTGACATAGTGTCTTATGTGCTCTCTTGCTGAGATAAATTTCTTGTATTGTGCTCTAATGCTGGAAAGCACACATGTTACATTATGGTTTGGATGCAAATCTGTTGAAGTCTGATTTGTACTTAGGTCTTTGGCCGAAAGGAAGTATTTCGAGTCACATAGGTTGTTGTTTGTTTTTATAAGGATAAATCAGATAAATTATAAATGGTGTATGAGCTAGCTGTTTTTTCTAATTTTGTCATGGAATAGAGTTGCTTGCT